AGATCTCCGAGCCGGCGGTGCCAATCCCCGAGGATCTGTGCGCCGCTCACGCACTCCTCCGAGCGACCGGGCACCCGGTGCAGAGCCTTTCCCGGCGAGTGCCCGCTCCTTGGTGGCACCCGCCCCGGGGCAGAGCTGCCTTCTCAGCCGGGAGAGCTTTCCTTCAGGTAAGGTGTCCCAGGTGAGGGCTCCCCCAGGTGAGGGCTCCCCCCGGTGGGCGGACCGTCCCTGCCGGTGAAACGCTCCCAGCTGGTGGGAGCTTCTGGCAGGTCTAGCGAACCCCCCTCTGATAGCTCCTATTTCCAGGGCCAGGGGAGCTCCCCCCCATGTGAGGGCTTCCCCAGGTATGACCTCCTGCTGCTAAGTGAGGTCATGCCCCCTCTTCCGGTGGGAACTCGGGGTCGATTCTCCCCAGGACAGAGGCAGCTGGCGGGTGAAACTTGCCTGGGGGTGAGGCTGTCCCCGGAGGTCCCCCCTTCCGACGGGAGCTTCCTTCCCTTGTGGGGAGGGGCCTCTGAAGAGGGGTGTGCCTGAGGGCCCGGTCCCCTTTGCTGGGTCCTTCCTGTGTGGGCTCCCAGCCTGGCAGGGGCTCGGGGGCAGCTGGGAAAGGACTCGGGGGCAGCTGGGAAAGGACTCGGGCTGAGCAGAGCTTGGCTGGGGGAGGCCCAGGGGCTCAGAGGAGGAGGCTGGAGGGGCAGCCGGCCTGGGACCCGGCTGGTGGACACTCCTGCTGAGCAGACACCCGGGGCTGGAGGCGTGGCCTTGCTCATCCCCTTGTCTCTTGATGGGGGACTTTGGCCCAGGAAGAGGCTTCCACCAGCCAAAGTTCAGGCTCTACCCCTGCCGCACGGGCGTGGGGCCAGCTGGAGGTTGGACCCACTGAGATCTTGGGGCCTCGAGAAGTCAGATGGGCGACGCTCTGGTCCTACGGGGCGGTGTGGGGGGTTGGGCCAGGGGTGCTCTCACTGTGTCTCTGGTCTCGCCACCTCAGACCGGGGGACACCCAGGTACTGCGGGCCACCACGGAGGCAATGGAGCGGAGGAGGCGGGACTACCGTGTGGAGCGGCAGCTGCTGGACCAGGAGCAGTGGAGGAGCT